GGAAGTTGCTGAGATTATGTGTATTCGTTCACAACGTTATGTGTATTGGTTCATACAGTTATGTGTATTTTTTATACAATTATGTACATTGTTTTTATACAATTATGTACATCCGAATCAGAAAATTTGTGTGTATTATGTTAAGAGTTGATGTGTATTATGTTAATTGTTTATGTTTATTATGTATTATGTTAGATTATGTGTATTATCTTTTAAAAAGAGTATGTATATTTTGTTATAACATTATGTGTATTCATGTATAACATTATGTGTATTCAAGTATAACATTATGTACATTCTTGAACAGCGGGTTTTTTTTTTAAAGAAAAGCCTACTGCCATTCACTGGGGCGGGAAATTTCAAAAAAAAAAAAAATTAAAACGACGTCGTTTTGCATCTGGGCGCATAGTGCAATGTACGCCGTGGTGTAGGATATAAATTGCCATCGGGAGGTGTGAGTCAAATTAAACATAGGTGTGAGTCAAATTAAACATAAAAGAATTTTTATTCAATATAATTCATACATATAATAATTGATGGATTAAATTGACCCGGGTAAACCAAATTACTTAACCCGATAATTAAAGAGTAATTATAAAAGATAAAATATATGAATGTAAAGACAAGAATGTCAATGGAAAAGGACAAGAAAGTTGTCTTTAGGAATATTGTAATGCTATTACAAATGGATTGAAGATGGCTTAACAAGACAATTACAATTAAATATATACTAAGTGATCGCTCAACCGCCCCCACAAATATGGAAATTAGTTGCAACAACCTTTACTACGTCCAGCTTGCTTGACCGAGGCCGAGGCCCTGGCTGAGGCCGAGCACGGGGCTCGGCCTTGGCAGCCTAGGGCCGAGGCCAAGCATTGGGCTCGGCCTTGACGACCTAGGGTCGAACCATGGGCTTGGTTTTAATTTGGTAGCCAAGGCTGGGGATGAGACTCAAACCCCGGGCCTCGAGTCCAACCGAACCTGTCTTGCTCCACTTCACTGGGTCGGTTTGTTCTGGGTCCATCTCTAATATATCCATCTCACTGGTCCCCGACTCTCCGAACTTACAAAAGTTGTTAGTGAGAGAGAGTATTCAACCACTACACCCCCTTTTCGGGGAGGCTGGGAAGAAGAGGCACATTGAGACGTTGAGGTTTACACCAAGAAACACATGGACAAGCTTGTGTTTTCACGGCTCACCATAGATGCAGGTCAAGAGAAGCTGGCAAAAGAGGGGGTGATTTTTTATGAGGTGGGCTTGTACGGGATGTAGCGAGATATCTACACGATAATCCATCAAAGAGATAGTGTTTACGGGTTGTGTCAGCGATGTCAGGTATCACATGGGAGCTAACCTAGGGCGCTCAACATGCTCGCGGCGCAACAGCCTCCTCGCTCGGCAATCCTCTTTGGACTTGGAGTGCCTTATCCTTCTGACTTCACCCTTCCTTCTCGTCCTTCTTCCGCTTTTCACCCTCTTCTGCGTCCGCAAACCTCACTGCCCGGTCCATCAGCTCGGAGTAAGTTTTGGGCGGGTCTGGTTGAAGTCGCGATGGAAAGCACCCGAGCTCAAGGCGTTGGTAAAAATCAGAATGGCTGATTTACCTTCAAAGCACGAGACCCCCGCCCATTGCCTCCCTCTTCCACTTGCCAAGGAACTTGGCCAGGATCACCAAGTTTTTCTACTTCACCGAGCACAAATGAGAGAAATGGCTTTTATTCTGGATGTTGCTCGCAAAGTAGGACATGAATTGCTTGGTGAGGTCGGTGAAAGTCATGATTGACCCCTCTGGTAAGGACCTAAACCACTCTTGGGCTTGACTATCCAAGGTGATGAAGAAACATCGACACATGATAGCATCGTTGGCTCCATCATCATCATGGCTGCTCGGTAACGGGTGAGGTGAGTTCTAGGGTTTGATGCCCCTGTGTAGGCCATGATCGTAGGAAAATAGAACTCTCTGGGGAGGGGCTCGACCATGATTTCCTTAGTGAATGGGGTGGACAGCTCGTCCCTGGGCATTGGGGACCTTTCCCGAACATCTATCTTTCTTTGGAGCTCGTCCATTTTGCTTCTGAAGCTACTCAAACTCGTCACAGTGAGAACTCGGAGCCCAATCACCAGTCTCTCCCAAATGTTCCACCTGAGAGGCTTGCTCTCGTCGTGATGGGGCTTGGAAACGTTCGTGAAAATGACTCATCCACCTGGGGATCATTTGCAGTCAGCCTCGACCCTAGGAGGTTTCAGGCCGACACTCAGGCACCCAACTGCCCCAAGGCGAACTTGGTTAGCTAGGGTTGGTCTCCCCCTACTTGCTCATTGGTACTCTTACCTGTCTTGATTAGCACGACCTCCTCCTCACAAATCCGATGTGGGGTGAGTTAACTTCCCCGTCAACTTGAGCTTTTGGGGCTAGGTGTTCAGCCCATTGTCCCCCGAGAGAGGGTTTGCCGGCTTGCGATCCCATTGAGGATGTTTCCACTCGGAAAAACACGGGTGTTGCGTGAGTTACAAGAGTTGCGAGAGTTGGATCTCGACCTTGCCATAGCTAATAAGTCGCACGCTCGAGCTTGTATGTCGAGCTCTCAATGAAAGCACCAATGATGGATTAAATTATCCTGGGTAAGCCGAATTACTTAACCCGATAATTAAAGAATAATGATAAAAGATAAAATATATGAACGTAAATACAATAATATGTGTTAATGGTAAAGGACAAGAATGTTGTCTTTAGGAATACTGTAATGCTATTACAAATGGATTGAAGACGTTTTAAAAAGAAGATTACAATTGAATATATACTAAGTGATCTCTCAACCCCCCAAACCCACGAATAGGGGCAGGGAATTAGTTGCAACAACCTTAATAAACACGTCCGGCTTGCTTGAACGAGGACGAGCCCGGGGCTCCGCCATGATGGCCTAGGGTCGAGCCATGGGCTCAATTTTGGTAATCGGGGTCGAGCACAAGACTCAACCTCGGGCCCCTAGTCCAACCAGACTTGTCTTGCTCTGCTTCACTGGGCCAGTTTGTTTTGGGTTCATCTCTAATATATCTATCAATAATAAAATTCACTTATGTATTGATTATTAATCTTCGTATTGAATAAAATGTCTAAATTAGGGGGAAATGAATTGCAATTTCATAGGAGATAAATAGTGTGAAATAAAGTGAAATTTAAGTTCTAATGTTTGATTTGTGTGAATAGAATTATTGAAAATTTCAATTTCAGTGTTTGGTATCCCTGGGAATTGGAATGGATTAAGTAGTACTCCCTCTGTCCCATTTAGTCTGTCTTACTTACTATTCATTAGTCAAACCAGCTCTTTCTTTGTTTATTTTCTTTATTATTTTTTACGTATTCAAATATTTTTTTTTTATTTTTGTGTTCAATATTACTTTTAGTTTAGTTTCTAAATATATAAATTTTGTATATCAATACTAAATTTAATATTATGAAAAATTGAATTAAAAATAACTCCAGCCAAGTCTTGTTAACCGAACCAGACACATAAAATGAGACGGAGGGAGTATATAAAGACCAAAATGCTCATATTATTATTATTATTATTATTATTATTATTATTATTATTATTATTATTATTATTATTATTATTATTATTATTATTATTATTATTGTTATTATTATTATTATTATTATTATTATTATTATTATTATTATTATTATTATTATTATTATTATTATTGTTGTTGTTGTTGTTGTTATTGTTGTTATTGTTATTGTTATTGTTATTGTTATTGTTATTGTTATTGTTATTATTATTATTCCTAAATGACAAGTAAATTTTTGCCAAAACTATAATGCAATTGTTATTTGGACACTTTGGATATAAACTTGTGTCACTATAACATATTTAATAGCTCCCAAAATTAACTTAATCATACAATGTTAAGCTTCAGAAGCTCACATCCAAAAAACTTCATAAAAGTAAAAGTACACAACCTAGTTAAACATAATAAAATGTTAAGCTTCTAAAAAGCTTATATCAAAAAAAAAAAAAATCATAGAAGGGTAATCTTGTCTGTGAGGGTATTTTTTAGGTTAGAAAATAGAAGGGTAATTTTGTTTCAATAGTATCTCTTTTTATTCCCAACCAATACAGAATTGAAATACCAAGGGGCATGTGATTTTAATTCCATAAAAATGAGGGAAATGCAATTTCGCAAAATTAGGTGGAAATGGAATACTAATTCTGTCCAACCATGGGTTGTTATTGTTATAAATAATGTATTTAGTATGGCCATTATTATTATTCATTGTGTAATGGTCATGTGATTAATGACTACATTATGTCTTCTGTTATATTTGTATACTAGTAGTTGCGCCCGTGCGATGCACGGCCATAATATTATGCCGAAATATATTAAAATTTGTTTTATTCACGATATATGGTCAATAAGGTTATAGACGTCACAAATACACAAAATTAAATATTTCATTGTAAAATAATGAAATAACAATTACAAATTATTAAAGATTTCTTTATAAACTACATTTTGAGTCTTATTTAAAAGACCTCTAGACTCCCCACATATTAAGACCGACCTTAAGACCATCTGGATTACTGACGCGAGAAACTGCAACATACAATTGGCCATGATTAAAAACAGGTTTTTTCAGTAACAAACCAACATGTGAAAGCGTCTGACCTTGACTTTTGTTGATTGTCATTGCATATGATAACATCAGTGGGAACTGCTTTCTTTGAAACTTGAATGGAAGTCTTGGATCTGAAGGAGTTAAATATAGTCTTGGTATCAAAACCTTTGTACCTGCGTTATTCCCAGCTATAATTTTTCCCTCAATAACATGATTTCCCAACTGTGTTACTATTAACCTTGTACCATTGCACAACCCCATCGAGGGATCTATATTTCTCAACAGCATAACTGGAGTTCCAACTTTCAGCGTTAGAGAGTGGTTTGGTACACCTGAACACCTCAAGCTATTTAAAAATTCTGTTGTGTGTACTTGTGATTACATATCAAAGTTTGACTCCGCCTTGCAAACAGAATCACAACTCAAGTATGTCATTGAAGCAGCTTGATTAATACCATTCATGTATTCATTGACCTCATCAACAACATCTAATGTTGGAGCTAATATAGCTCTATTCTCCAGTTGTCTTTCATCCATGTTCCCAGAACGGTACTCAGGAAATGTGCTTTCAACAATTTGCCTAATAGGATCAACCTTGTTTTCTAATACAATTGAAGACGGTATCATTATATTGCAATTAACACCATTGTCTTCACTAAGATTACCATCACCTAAATCCGCAATCCATTTGGCAAAACTATCTAACTTCTGAACATCCTCTTCATTAGTAAGACCTCGTAATCTTAAATTCTTGGTTAGACGAAGAACTTCACAATTATTCCACAGGTAAGATGAATTAATACTGGCTTGCACTATATCTTGTCTAGTACCTTTTGGAATAACGGGTAGAATTTGTCTAAAGTCTCTACCCAACACCACTGTTTTCCCGCCAAATGTCATTGTTGAGCTCCTTGAATTCTTGAAACGCATTAAATCTCTCATTGTTCGGTCCAATGCTTCAAAACAATGTTTGTGCATCATCGGAGCTTCATCCCAAATGATTAGTTTGCATTTGATTATCAATTCAGCAAGTGGACTGCCTTGCTTGATGTTGCAAGTGGAATCTTCATTAACAGCAATTGGTATAGTTTCCTGGAGTGTGCAGTCCTACCACCAGGTAGCAGCAATGAAGCTATACCGCTTGATGCTACATTTAGAACTATCTCGCCCTTGGACCGTATAGCTGCTGAAATTGTCTTCCACAAAAATGTTTTTCCTGTCCCACCATAACCATAAACGAAATACATTCCACCTTTCTCAGTTTCAACATCTGCCATCACCTTATTGTATATCACTAACTGTTCATCGGTTAGTTTCAGATGCAACGAATTATGTTGATGCAATAGATCTTCCCTATCATATGACATCTCCTCGAACAACAACCTGTTACCAGAAAACCAATCGTTGTTTTCATCTGGCATTGGCATAGGTGGATAATCTCATAGAGATTTGTTCCAAGCATTCAACTTCTCCATTTCAAGCAACGCAAAATTTTTTAAATGAGATTCATTTAGACTTAAATCTACAATATAAGAATAAAAAAACGTAAGATGTAAAGCTTTAAAAAATGGATATGAATAATTAATAATATAACAATAAATGTTACCTGAGACTGAGAGGTTCCTTCTAGAAATATATTGAGCATCATCTGATAAGTATTGCCAAACCATTTCCCAAACATTTTCTGGCTTGGACATTGAATTGGATGTCAGAAGTGTAACAAACAACTTACGTAGCGAATGTGCTAAAGACCAAGTTGCTGCCTCAGTGATTGCATCAACATACTCTTTATCATCTTTGATTAATCCGCGTGCATAACATGCATCTCTAAATGAACTGTATTGAACACCATCTACTTGTTTAATCTCATCAAATGAAGTCGGTCCACGAACTATATTAAGTAAACATCTAAGATAAAAAATCTCACCAGTATTTGGTGGCACATAAAAGATTCGACCAATTGCCAATTTCTTTGCCTAGGTTGCCATTCTCTTTTATCATTTTTCCAAAAAAATTTGGTTGGCATCTGTGAATAAGTCAACTCCCTCGCTGCCACGTACTTTTTATTAGCCTCAAACCAGGCAGTAAACATGCTTTGAGCTACTGTCGGTCGATTTACAACATCATTGACCAAATCGTCGTCAAGAAAGATTATTGATTGCTCATTGGGGAGATGAAAACTCAACCGCTCAACAGATGGATTCCTGAATTGTATGTCAAACGCAAAAATCCTCCACCCGGCCTCAGGGGGTGAAATATATCTACAGTCATAGTACATCTTGATTTCATCTATAATCTTTCAAGTAGATTCTTCCACCCCACTATTGTAGAATTCAGCTGTGACTCTATCATTACCCTTGTTGACGTACTTGAATAAGTACTTTATTGACCTAGATTGGTTGCACCACTCCACATTAATATGAGCCCTGTACTTCATAAGCAAATGTCTATTGTGTGGAACAACATATCTACTATCAAGGTCAATCCCATTTTTCCGTACTGTACGACCATTATCTCTACGCCGATATATTGGATATCCATCAAAATCCACTGTTGAGTTTTCAACAAATTTTTGGGGAAGAATTTAGAGCACATACCATTTATCATGCAAGGTGAATTCTTCCTAACTGCACCACATGGACCGTGAATCATAAATTCTGCTACAGCTTGATAATACTCAGGTTCGCACAATTGACTTGGAATCTCGGCAGATATGATCATGTCAATATCTTTAGGATTAGGGTAAGGGTTACTGTTGCTCAAGAATATTAAAATGTGTGCATGTGGCAGTCCCCTTTTTTGAAATTCAATGGTGTAAATTACTGCAAAAAACAAACAATGTGAAATTAGACCTTCAAAATTGCTAATTATTTAAAAGATATGTAACAATAAAAAATAATCAAATATATTGATGAAATCACCTAAATTACCTGCATCTACCACTCCAAAAATTTTCTCTTTCTGAATGTCTTTAATTAGTGCATTTAATTTCATTTTAAACACACGGCATACTATATATGGCCTATCTTCAGCTTTGAGTTTCCTTGGTTGCAAAAATCTTTAATGTGATCTATTGCATTCCACTACTGGAAAATACAACAAATGAAGGCGTCATGTTATACTTACTTACCTGGCTAACCGAGCGTTCAAGATTTCACAACTTTGACACAAAATTCCATTGGAATTTTCTATTTATGTAAGCTCTGTAATTTGTAAAATATCTGAAACGTAGCAAATAAATTAGATTTGTAACATTTACTATGTATTTCGCAGTTTCGTTAGCAGCTTTATGGAGGTATACTTCTGATTATTACTGCAAATTGTTATCTGCTTAAGACAGTACATAAGTATTTAAGTGCACTAACATGTTTTGTATTCAAAATCATTGTTTTGGTTAGAAATTATATGTTGTAAGACTTTGTATAGACTTAAGTATTTATTACTTAACTAGGACTATGTGGTCTAATGGTATCCGGGTTGGACTTTTATTTGGAAGGTTGTAAGTTCGAGCCTCAGTGGAGGTGTTATTAGCTCTTTGTGTTTCAGTAGGTTGAGAATAGATACTACAATGTAATAGAGCTAGTAGCATTCAGAAAAAAAAAGTATTTACTACTTGACTGTTTTGATTCTGTATTTAAGCTGTAGTCCTTTATTGAAATATTTATTTCAATTATTGATTGAAAAGAAGGAGTCTGTTTTTTAGCTATATAAACTACTTAATGTTTAGATATATTTAAGCCATGATATTTCAATTTGATATTCACTATGTTTTGTATGATATTCTTGATTTGGTTAACCTTCAAATGTTGGCTGACTTTCTATATGATCTATTATAAAGTAGTTTAGTATTTTAGAATGTCATGAAAAGATTTTGAAGCCAAGTTCAGATGTTGACAAAAATGAACTCATGGAAAAAAAATAGAACACAGCCAAAAAGGTGCTATTGAAGTAAAATAGGTCAGAAATGTATACCATGGTAATCATAGCTTTATTCTTCAATTAAAAACAAATACAGTTGGATCAAAATATCTAATGCAACTGATGAATGAACAAATTCCTTTATTTCAGGTGTATTGAAAGTTCAAGACCACAACAATAGAGATACTACCCCTCAAAGATAAGTACTTTTAAATTTCAGCTATCATGTTTCTTGCAGATCTGTTTCTTGTGCTTGCTACTTGATATCTGCCTGTTCATACCTGCAATGAGTTAGGAAATAGACAAACCACAACATAAAACATATAAAGACCATTTATAAGACTGTAAAAGAAAGCACTTAAACACAGTGCATAATATCCTTGTCAAACCATCACAAATCACACATAATATGTACTCAGTAGTACATATTATCAAAATCCAGATTACAAAAACACATGAGCACCCAAATCACCAATATCATATTGTCCATCATTGAACCACAAAACAGAAACTCAATTTTTCTCCTGTTTAACCAAAACAGCCTTTGCTTTCTTAACATCTCTACTTGATGAAAATTGATCAAGTAAATTCCTTTTTGATGACACTGCTTCCAGGGGTTCATCTTGTTCATCCACCTTTTGCTTCTTAGCTTGAATAGGATTGGGACTGCTTGCCTCATCACCCGATTCAGATTCCTGGTATAAATAAGAAAAAAAAATTAGTTAGACCATGAAGTAGTTAGTTTATTGAATCAAGTGACCATTAATTAAATACTTACATCAGACTCGGCATCTGGATCTTCTTCATTTAACATCCTTGATAGCTGATCTTGATCATCACTTAAACAGGGACAGTAGTGATCAATTAAATCTTCATCGTATGCTATTCCAACCACAGGTATAGCTATTGCTCGGTTCTTGAAGTGATCACTCTTAGCAGAAATCTTGAAGACCATAGCCTTATTACGGACTTCTTCCATACCGGTTGGGAGAGGAGACCCATCCTGAAAAAAACAAAACTGTTTAGTCAGCTTTCAAAACTTTAAAAAATATTTAGAAGACTGTCTATTAGTACTTTTTTTACTCAAGGTTTAAAAAAAATACCATTGAGTATTTGGTCCTTATGTCGAATGCAGTTTTTCCAATTATCTCGCAGCCCTCCTTGTCCCACAAAAGAAAAGGAGCATCTGTGATCTTATCACCTACCCTCACAATGAGCCTGTACCTTAGGTTTCCCTCTTGCCAGCTTGTGCCACATTTTAGGCATTGCAGAGTCCCATTCTTCAAATGCAATTTCCTAAAGCATCCCTCACTTCTACATGAATGGTAAAACCAATTGGTAGTACTCTCCACAGCAACAATCCTTCCAGGAACCCAGTAGTAGCCCTCCTGGTAGTTCAAATTAAATAAAATTGTTAAGTTAGGATTAAAAAAAATCAAAATAGAATGTTAAGGTTAAAGTAAGTTACAATGTACCTCGGCTCTTTCATAAAGATCCTCGATTGTAGTTACGGTTATAGGAGTTTTTGAACTCTCAGCAGCATTGCCATGAGACATGTGAGACACAGTCTGTGCACTTAGAGGTGGCCTGGTATCAACATTCAAACTACAAGGTAAAGAATTAAGATTAATTCATCATTGATCTAGGAAAGGTGATTAGAAATACAAATTATTTGGAATTGCCTGTCTTTAAATTCTTGGACTTCCTTGCAAGGGTGATTAAACCATAGTTGTGTAGCGTTGTATGAGCTTGAAATCCTGAATTCATCTACATATTACAAACACAAATTTGATTAGAAATAATCAATATAGATGTTAAAGAATATCTTATCATGAACTTATTATCCACTTTCTTTGCTCGACAGAGTTGGAGTAAAACAATCAAAGGACCTTCCACATGAGTTTTGAAATAATGCATGGCCGTATCAACATGTTGATCCCAGACAGTACACTTCAGATGATTGCCCCTAAAAATTAGTAAAACAGATTGTAAGTAGATAAAATATATTGTACTGATTAACTTTATATAGAGTTGATTGTTTATGCTTTTTACTTATATAATAGTTCATTAACTGCAGTTGAAACTAAACTATAACTTTTAGTGATATATAAAGAAGTCTTTAAGCAGTACAGTCAGAAACTGACCAAGATAAGTATTTTTGAATAATATATGTTTTAGCTTAATCACTTCATATCCACAGTTTACTTTAGCATGATTTATCACTTCAAGACAGTACACTTGCTTACATACAATCTTTATTTGAGATACAGGAAGTACATTTATATTGAGTTGATTGTTGAAAATGATTTGAGATGGGCACAAATATACAGCGGGAGATCAGAAACTTGGGTTTATCAAGGGATAATACAGATATGTAAGAGGTAAGTTAAAGCTACTTGATTGTAAGATCAATTAGTTTCTGATTTGAGTTTTAAAATTTAATTGTCAACTTTCAGATAGAAAATTTCTTATTTAATCAGTAATAATCACAGTTTTAATACATAAAAGCATGCTTTGAGATTGGCACAACTATAAAGTGGCTTGAGATTGGCAGAAATATACATTGGGAGATCAGAAACTTGAGTTCATCAAGGGATAATACAGATATGTAAGAGGTAAGTTAAAGCTCATTGATTGTAAGTTCAATTAGTTCCTGATTTGATCGAGTTTTAAAATTTACTTGAATCTGCTTGATAGTAAATTTCTTATTTAATCACAGTTTGAATACATAATAGCATGATGTGAGATTGGCACAACTATACAGTGGTTTGAGATTGGCAGAAATATACATTGGGAGATCAGAAAGTTGGGTTCATCAAGGGATAATAACAATATGTAAGAGGTAAGTTAAAGCTCATTGATTGTAAGTTCAATTAGTTTCTGATTTCAATTTTAAAATTTATTTGAATCTGCTTGATAGCAAATTTCTTATTTAATCACAGATTGAATGCATAAAAGCATGGGTTGAGATTGGCATAACTATACAGTGGCAGATCAGAAACTTGAGTTCATCAAGGAATGTTACAGATATGTAAGAGGTAAGTGAAAGCTTATTCATTGTAAGTTTTAAGGTCTATGTTTACTGTATTGGTGACAAAAAGATTTAACACACATGTCCATTTTATAAGCATATTATAATTAGGAAAAAAAATGCAAATTTTATGCAGTTTTATATGGAAATAAATTTAGAAAAGTAAGCATACTTACTGGCCATCTTCTATGAGAAAATCCACCAATTTGGAGGGAAATCCAGCTATAAGAATCTCTTTTGGAGTGTAGTACTCCACCACTCTACCAATCACATCTAAAATGGGAATAGAACAAAACAAAGTAAGATGAAAACATAGGATATAGGATATATAATATAGAGAAAAGAGGAATTAGAAATCATACCAATGAGATGCTTCTCAGATACATTGCAACTCATTAAGTCAATATAAGACTTAAGCCGAAACATTAGTAAGGGAAACCCCTTGCGCCTGTGTCTCTCAACAGTAGTCTCATGAGTAAATCTGATCATATAGCTATGATCAGTAGTTTTTTATTGGTAGTATTGGGATATGACTGCAAAATCTTTGATGGAATAAACCTTCCCTTCTTTCAAAAGTTTAGAATACTCTTCAACACACTCTTTAGGGATGTTCCCATGAATGTATGTACCCTATCAACAAAGAACATATATATTGACTGTCAAATTTTACATTTTTTGCAGGCAGTTGAAATCGAAAGAGAACTTACCTCAGCATCATGAAAGACACATTCCTGACTCTTGATGATATCCGAACTGTTGCGCCCTTCGGGTACCGTATAGGTACGAATCAACCATAGCCTGATAGCTTTTTTGTAAGTAGACAATTTGATGTCTTTGCCTAGAATAAAAACAGGAGCCATTTGCAGAATTCGGCCAGAAATTTGAAAGCAATGAAGAAAGATGAATAGCCAAGTTAGACTGAAGAAGATAAGAATGGTAGACAACGCAAGAGAACAATGGTAGAAAGCAATCAACTAAATACCAAGAATTTATAGAGGGTTGTAGAGAAGTTCCAAATGAGTCATGATCTCTCGCTTGCCCCCCAAATGAGACTACACATTGGAAGAACAAACGACACATGGGAAACTGTAATTACCCTTCATATATATATATATATATATATATATATATATATATATATATATATATATATATATATATATATATATATATATATATCCTGTATCTGTTGTATGTAGATCGTAATTGTATGTATTTGTATTTCTATTGTATTGTATTTCTAAATAGTTGTTCGTTTATAATGGTTGGAATTCAATTGTTGGCCGCCGCATTAATATCAAAGGCGACTGACCACATTCCCAGATAATTGGGACTGTGAAAAACGAATTTTAATCATAGATTTATAGATATAGATTTATTATTCTTCAATTAAGATACAAACTGAAATGATTTATTGTTATCGTTTTTTTTTTTTTTGATACCGAGAATCAACCGAAACGGCGTAGTATAGTTTGAGCGGGAAAATGGTGCCATTTCATTGGCCGAAATCTTATGGCTTTAATATCTAGAGAGATTATATATAGATGTGTTGTGGTTGTATGGAGAACACACAGATGAATGAAGAATGATCCACTTGCCTTGTCTTTTACTTTCTCTCTTGCCTTGTCTCTTACTTTCTCTTTCTGCAATTCCTTTGATCAATCACGTTTGAGCTAATGGGTTACAACACGTTATCATCAATTCAATACATACCTGGTGAACGGTAATTTTATAAGTTTTTTATGACCAAAAGTACATATGTCTATGTTTTCCTAAATCTATGGCTTTTGATAATCTGTATATGCTTACTGGTAGTACATAGTAGCAAGTTCTGCATATATTTCTTGTGTATTTTGTTTCTTTCTCCTATATACGGAACTTTTGTTTATATATTTTTTGTCCAACACAGAAAAAAGAGGGTTAAATATTCTGTGCATATATATATATATATATATATATATATATATATATATATATATATATATTTCCATTCGAATCTATCTATATATAATTTGGTTTTTTTTTCTTTGCATATGTATATCTTTCATAAAAGAAAAAGAGATGAACCCAGGTTTTCGTCCCTTTGGTTTTCTTCGAAACCGTTGTGCGTTAATTGCCTTTTAATCTAATAAATTAATGCCGAGAAAGCGTTAATTAATCCTAATTTTGACTTAGGGTTTATATTTTATTTGAACCCAGGTTTTGGGGGCAAATTATGCTATGCATCCGTATGCACCATGCATGGTGCATATGGATGCAAAAACGACGTCGTTTTGATGCAAAACGCGCGTCTTACTTAAAAAAATAAATCAGTTTCGATTACCAGTAAAATTCAGGCCAATGTTAACAAAGACTTACTAATTTGTTTTTTTCTGCACAGTTATGGCTAAAGCATCACGTTTAATTTAATCATTTGAACACTAGCAACAGTTGCTTCTAAACTTGTCAAAAAAAGTCTCCTTTGATTCTGAATTATTATGGATTTATGGACATTTTTCAAATGATAAGATAGCAAATCAATTTCCATAGTTTTAAGCTTCCATATATTAATGCACAGAAAGATAACTATACATAGCCAATTCAATGGAAAAGCTTAAAATTGGTGGGTCATCATCTACTTTCAAGAAAAAGCCTGTTATCATCATTGTGGTTGGAATGGCAGGTAAGATTAACTTTGAGAGGCCTTCATCTAATTTGAAAAATATATTTTTGATCTTTGTTATACAAGAACTTGTAATGTCTGTAATTCTCTTGAACATTGGCAAAAATGTTATTATTATTATTATTATTTTTTTACTTTATCATACAAAGACTAGTAATATCTGTAATACTTGAAGACTCTGAATCATAAACTATTGTTAACTAGGTAGTGGGAAAACTACACTTGTTCATTGGCTGGTATGTCACACGTATTAGGACTCTATTATCCATATTAGACTAGGACTATATTATTCGTGTTAGACTAGTATAGGATTCTATCTAGCATCTCTATATATTCGCTCCCTGTACTCTCAGTCATTATCATTGAATACAGAAAATATTTTCTCATCTGGTATCAGCTAGGTTTTTCCATGGAAAATATCGGTGTTAATGACAGATCTATTCTTGGTTCCTTTGAACGGACTGTTACCGAGATTCCTACGATGCCTGCGAGTGGTAACCTCTCATCGGCTCATCACTTTGTTTCGTTAAAGTTGACCCCCCGAAATTATCTATTATGGCGGACTCATATATTTTCTGTATTCAATGATCAACCTGCCGTGCCCGTAGCCAGGTTCGACCAGCACCGCGATCAGCCCGCCTCTGCTGAGCCGTCCGTGACCGAGTCCGAGCGGACAGTCACGGACCAGCCACCTGGTCGGCCAAGAGGTCGACCCCGTGGTCGATCTCGTCCCGTTATCTCACCCGTTCGGTCTCATGGGATGAATACGCGGAGCTCGGGGCCGCATGATCATGTTGCTGTATCCACTGATGTCACTACTGAGCCTACATGTTTTACTCAAGCGGTCAAATTTCCCGAATGAATGGATGCAATGGTTTTGGAATTTAATGCCTTGGTGCACACCAATACATGGCGGCTCATTCCTTTTAAATAAGGTATGAATGTGGTTGGCTGCAAGTGGGTGTTTAGAACCAAGAGAAAAGCTGATGGTTCGGTTGAGCGTTACAAGGCTCGATTAGTTGCCAAGGGATTCAATAAGGTTTCCAGTGAGGATTTCTTTGAGCCCTTTAGTCCCGTGGTTAAACCGACTACGATACGACTTCTCATATCCTTAGCTATTTCTCGTGGATGGACTATTCGACAGTTAGACATTCACAATATACTTTCCTAAATGGCAATCTTGCTGAGACGGTTTATATGCGCCAGCCCCCTAGCTATGAAGACAAAACGATGCCCGGACACGTTTGTCTCCTTCAACTTTCTTTGTATAGGTTTAAGCAAGCTCCCCGTGCCTGATTCACGGGATTGCGCCACCTTCTGCGCCCAAACTCTGGTGTGATAATCTGGGAGCTACTTATCTATGTGCTAATTCGGTGTTTCATGCTCGCACCAAGCACATTGAAATCGACTACCACTTTGTTCGTGATAAACAGATAAAGTAGCAAAGAAGGAATTACAAGTCAATTTTATTTCTACTAAAGATCAGATAGCGGATATTTTTTTATACTAAGTCTCTTTCGTCTGTACGTTTTAATTTACTCCGTTCCAAGCTCAATGTTTTGGCTGACCAAACTTGGGCTTGAGGGGAATATTAGGACTCTATTATCCATATTAGACTAGGACTATATTATTCATGTTAGACTAGGATTCTATCTAGCATCTGTATATATTCGCTCCTTGTACTCTCGGTCATTATCATTGAATACAGAAAATATATTCTCATCACACGATGGCTTCTAATATTCGAGGTTATGTTATGAACCTCGATCCTGCTGTTTTGACCCTTCCATTCGGAGCAAATATCGACATAAGAGACACTGTTCGCTACAAGGAAGTCATGAAGCAATTCAATCAAGGGCCTAATGGAGGAATACTAATTAAACTTGTTTGCAACAAAGTTTGATGAGGTGAAGCTTTTAGTTTTGCTCTTGAATTTTATCGTTAAACACCGTTGAACAAGTTTTCCCTCTTTGCTTGCAGTGGTGTTTGGGCCCCTTCTCTCTTCTGAGTACTTTTATGCCTTTTTTGTAAAAATATAATGTTTCTTGTAAATGCATAATTTATCTGTATATATTATACTTGTCCTCTAGCTAGGATAGATGAATTGAATGGCCAAGTATGCAACTAATGGAATATTATATCCTTCTAGTCTATAGAATATCTGAGTCTTGACTGGGATCTATACTCCGATCCATTCTCTACCACAGCTTAACCACAAATGCTATAAACTTTTCAAACTCAATAGGGTGTTGAGGAATTGTTCCAGAAATCTTTGTACACACTGCTCTTTTGGAATGTATGAATAATTATCATTTTCCAACCTCTCTTTAGGGATGAGAGTGCACAGCCACTTCCCGCCTACTAATCTGGTTATATAGTAATCCATTAGATTTGATTTCTGCATTGCTCAATTTTAGAGCTGAAATTGACAAGAGACTGGCGGAGAAGCAACAGTTGGAGGAAGAACGCAGGGTGGAGAACATGGAGAAGTCTCGGGGAGAAACTGTGGTATTGAACACTGGCTTAATGGAAGAAGATGAAGAGGATGAAGATCTGGAGGAAGATTTTGAGAGATTCGGCGTGGATGATGATGATGATGATGGTGGCATAAGTGATGAGGATGAAGAAATTGGAAGTTTTTCTTTCTGATATGGCAAAAGAAAAGTTTGTATATTACTGATGGATGAAAGTGAACTGGACCAACGTACAAGAGACGTAAATGTCAGTTTTGCCCTTATGCAGCGATAATTTGGTCCTCACTCACACACTCATTTCGCACTTGCTCTAGACTGGACGTGAAATGACTATCAACATTTTAACGTGAGATGTACTAAAATGTTCACATAGTACAAAGCAAATATTGATATGGTATAATGTAAGTTAACGTCTATGGTCAAATTCCTCGTTAAAATGTTCAACCGGTTGATAAATATGATTACATTGACATAATTTGTAAATATAGTATAACTTCGTTACATTGACATAATATGTAAATATAGATTGATTTTAATTTTTAGAATATTGTAAATAGTTTTATTAATTATATTCAATTTAAAATATTAGGGGGGAAATGACTTATACCAAAAGTTGGCAGAAGTCATTTCCACAGACCACAACAACATCGATGAGTACAACCCTGGTCTGGGTTCTTACATCGACGAGCACAGCCTGATTTGGTTTCCCCCGGAAACCAGAGCA